TAATACAGCATATATATATATATATATATATATATATAATACGAAACATTAAATATAACAGTTTCACATGATCGCGATATATCGTGGAATGGAAGGAGCGACACAAATTCACCGCAGCGTCGATATTACGGGACCCGTATCCCAACCGAACGAATAAATTTTAGGCACGGAAAAGGTGAGGCTCGAACTTCACCACTCGGCCCATTTATCACCGAGTTTCCGGGCCGAGGAGAATTTTCAACAAAATTGCAAAGTAATGTATTTCCACCGAAGTAACGGCATCTGGTGTGTAATGCGATTTGTTGAAAAAGGAGTGGAGGGGGGCAGGAGTAGGACAGAGGGTTGCGTTAACTCGATGTTAATCAATTTTCCGCTGGGAATTTCGCTCTGTTAAATAACGACTATAATATCGCTCTCTTTCAACGGTTAATCTCCCTCCCCCTCCCTCGTTTCTGTTAATTACACGAATAAACCGGCTTAATTCGCCAATATCCTTTTAATCTCGACTCGTTTCGGGATAAACATTCGGAAAAAGAAGGGGTTATTAATCGACTGAAATTTTTAGTTCGATCGATTAATTGAGATTCACGATTAAATATCGATAATTAAAGTAAGTTATTTAATTTCTTTTTTTTTTTTTTTTTTTTAATTCTGTGATCCTTGATTAATTTATCGCCCAAATTTTAATAGAAAGATACACTTTTTTTTATTGTAAATGGTAAAGTTTAGTTGGGAAAGTAAGTGACCTTTAATAGAGGGTTCGATATTTGGCACGAAGAGTAGGTAGTATTTTTTAATAGAGTATAAATTGGGGAGTTTGAATGCTCGAAATTGAAGGTGGGATTAAAAAGTTTTGAAATTCAAATTGATATTTGAATATTTAAAAATGAAAATTGATAGTTTTTAACGGGGCACATTTTTGTCGAGCACTTTTTACGAAATTTCATTCGTCGAGTTAATAATGATGCACATATATCCTGATCCTTGCACGATCAAAATATATATCCTGGAAAAATGTACTGACAATCAAGACAAAAAATGAAGGAAACGAAGAATTTCAAATTTTTAATTAATATTAATTGACAAACTTTTAACAAAGAAATAAAAAAAGATATAGTATAATTCTAAATTTTTACAATCGTTTTTGACAAAAAAGAAGAAACAGAAAAATATTTAATGAGTAAATTAAAAAGTATAGAATAAATAATTTTAAATTTCAATCATCATCGAGAATTATTTGTTGACAAAAAGTAAGGAATAGAAAGACATTATTCTGGAAAATTCGTTAATAGCTCTCTTCTTTTTGTTTCCCCCCAGCGAAAGAAGATCCTCTGGTGATGGCTGCTATTAAAGGCATTCCTGTGGAAGCTGCGAAGAGGGGAGTATTCCCGGAGGACATTCTTCGTGAAAGGTTCCTCAAGGTAAAGGTTTTACATTGACCAATCCTACGTCACAAACGTCGCAAAAGCATCTAAAAATATTTATCATTATTTACTGTACCTCCTTGAAATTTCTCTCTCTCTCTCTCTCTCTCTCACACCATTCTTCTCTATTCCTCAAGTTTTTAAAAATATTAAATGTCACGCGCGAAGATTGAAAAATTTTCATCACGCCCTTTAGAAATTTTTTATCACCCGAAAGCTTCATCATCCATATTTCACTGCTTCGATAAATCGTGTAAATATCTATAAATATTTATCAGTGTCCACACTTGGAATTTTTTTACGCCCTTTCTTCCTTCGAGAGGAGTGCTTTTTCTTAAGGAAAGTCGCTCGAAATTTTCATCTCTGTCTCTTTTTCGAATTTTTCTCAATCGTTTCTTGAAGCTTTTTATATTTTTTTATATTTGATTCTTTGGAAAATGTAAAAATGTATTTGTCACTTTCATTTCTTATTTTATTATTTTTAAAATTTTTAGCAAGATCTTTCAGTAATTTCATTTCTTTGAATGTTATAATTAATAATTAATTTCACAGCCAAGAAATTTTTGCCTCGAAAAACGTTTCTAACTATTCTTTTCTTAAAGTTTCTTACATTTACTCCTTAAACATTTATAAAAGATTATACAAATATCTAATATTTCTCATCCTCGTCCCTTTCTCACAGTTTTCTCCTTAAATTTCAAATCTTTCTTTTATTTTTATCCCAACTCTCAATCTCTGCCACTTTATTATCTTTATCTTAATTTAAAAAAAAAAGAGATTTTTATTCATTTCTTTGAATATTATTATTAATCATTTCATTGGATCAAAAATTATTACCCATTTTGAATAACTTTTCTTAAAGTTCTTATAGTACAAATAATATTAATAATTTAATTAATATTAAAGAATTCCCTTTTGAAAATTCATTTTAATTATTACTCTTTTTTGAAAAATCTTTTTGCAAACATTTTCATCCCTTCCAATTATTATTATTAATATTAATCAATCGAAAGATTTGTTTATCTTGGGAAAAAGTTCCTTGCCATTATTCCCTTCAAATTCTTCAATTTCTTCTTTTGTTTCCACCATCTTGCCCATAAAACGTTTTACCCCAGAATCAAAAGAGAGTTGTACTCGAGCAAAGTTTTCTTTTATTTCGCGAAATTTTCGCTCGCCCATAGGATTATAAACTTTACTTCAAAGTGTTATTCGAATGAGAATTTACGAAGTGGAAACTGGGTTTCAGGTGGAACAAGTGGCCAGACGATTGGCCATGGTGCCCGAGGAGGGCGCAGCACTGCCTATTTATTTGCTAAGTTATATTCAGAGCTATTTGATGTTCAAGGATGTCTGCCCTATCTCTCGTTCAGAACTCGAGGACAAACCTTTCGATGTAGAGAATCTTAATACATTCGATATACTCAATCGAGCCAGGTAAGTACCCCTTTAATTCTGTTTTAGAATCTTATATTTTTTTTTTTTTTACTTTAAACGAGTGATTTGATTGCGTCACATATGAACGTATCGCGTCATACTTGGTTATTTCGATTATTATTAATAAATATTTTAAAAATTCTATTTGACAAATAAAAATTTTTTTACTTTATAAAATGTAAAATTTAATCGATAAATTACAAATATTTTTCTAACTCTGTACAAGTTGATTATTATTCAACTTGAGAAATAATCCGATCTTAACGAAAATTAAATCAGGAAAGAATAATAAAAATTCTCACGACGCGAAAGTGCGTGTCGAAAGCGATCTGGAAAATCGGGTCGCGTCTGCTAATTAATGGATGAAAGGGTTGCTTTCTGGAAGGAACGAGCAACCGAAACAGGAAAATTAATTTTCCGTTCTGTCTTCGGATTCAAGCAGCTTGTTTATCGACACCACGTTGTTTCTTATGAGCGAGACTTGATGACGGTATTGTCGTCGATCCTTTGTTATTCGACACGTTCCAGGTTTTGTTGCACTTTTCGACATTCACTGCATCCTAACGTGGCTGGAAACGTCGACAATCGATGGTCGAACGCACATCCTGATTTTTCACCTATATCCTCTTTTTTCTATGAATGTTTGTGCTTGTAGTTGCCAGATAATTCGATGTTTTATAGGCTTATGATGATTTTAATTTTTCGTGAGGAAACTTTGTGGATAAGTAATTTTTTAGAAAAAAAAAAAAAATAACTGAAAGTAAGTAGATCTACTTTAATCTAATCTAAACAACGAATGATGAAAAATAAATTTCTGTAAAGATTAAAGTAAAAGTTATAATGAAAGAATTGATATAAATGTAATTTAATTTTAAAAACTTAAATTTCATTTTTATCACAATTTTATTCGAAATTTTGAAATTAGTTGAAAAGAAATGAGAAAATTACAAAAATACGTCCGAAGTTATTATAATAATAATATTAATTTTCATCTAAATTTCCATCGAGTCTTCACTCTATATAAATTAAATAATTCCACAACAAATTATTCTCACCGACAATTTCCTCCACTGCTTCATTTTTTCCTTCCTTTCAATTATTTGATCAGAATCTTGTCCAAACTTCCGAATCAAATTCCCTCCTCCAGGAAATTTTTCATTTCCATCAAACGAAACCTAATTAATCAGAAACCTAGATCAATCTGACGATTTTCTACTTCTCGCAGAATTCCCTCTATCAATTATATCAGAAAAAAAAAAAGAGGGAAAAGAAATCGTGGACTTTTTTTTTAAATCGATCCTCAAACTTTATCTTTCTCCTTCGACGACTTTTTTCTTCCACTTCGTGTCAGCGTCACTCTGCACATGCACGCAGAGTAATGAATTAAACAAAGAGCTTCCTCGAAATAATTTTTAACCTCGAAATTTCGGTGCTGCAATTTTTGAATAAATGGATGAGCCACGTAATTGCGAACCTGGCCCCCACGATTTTTTTTTTAATTTTATGGTGCGTATGAATATGGAGGGTGGAAGAGGGTGGTTGGTTATTTACTCTGTATCGTTTATTTTTTTTTTTTTGGCTTTGCTCGAATGAATTTTTCTCGGGCAAAAAAAAAAAAAAAGAAAAAATTATATCAGTTATCTTTATTCTTATTTTTACGAATTGTGAATTTTAAATAATTATTGTGTTTTTCAACGATTTATTAATAAATTAGGACTAATTAATTTAATCCCTCTTTAATGTAAAGAAGAAAAGAAAGGAAAGTTGTTGAAATTTCTATTTATTAAAAAAAATTAATAAAATTAATTAATCGTTGTATATTTGATATCGATACATTTAGGACATATTTTTTGGGGGGGGGGGGGGAGAAGGAGAGGGACAATTCTTTGAAGAGTTAATATTTATTTGCTCAATAATCGATATACGATCCATCGAAAGTATCTCTAACACTCCATAAACCGCACACTGTTAAAAAGAAAAGATGTTTAAAAATTCACGAACCAGAATCGTGACATTCCTTCCAGAAGGAATAGAAAGGGAGATGGTATTAAAAAATGCAAATGCATCCAACTGAAATATCTATTTGCAGAGGCTGTGAATTTACGCGTATTGCGTCGGAAAAAAAAAAAAAATACATAAAGCATGCATAAAGAAGTGGACGGATAAAACGTGGCCGCAAAATATGCATATCATAGATACGTTTCAACGAGCGATGAAAAAGAAGCTGCGTTAAAATTTGGACCCACGCCACTAGCGTCGAGACTACATCCGTTCGAAGGGGGGGGAGGGGGAGAGGTGGTGGGAAAAATATGGCCGCGCAAATATGCGAGTTTCTGTGTGCAACGCTGTTACAAATTCCACGGAAATTTTCGCACATGGTGAAAAACAGGCAAATTCAGCGCCCGGAATTGTGGAAGTAATTAAGGGGTTGTTGGCTGGATTAAAGAAGAATAAAGGTTGGGGATGAGGTTGTGTTATAGAGTTAGAATTTGAAGACTTGGGGAGGGTTGATTGGATGATGGATGGCTAAGGTGTATAAAATATTGGGATATTTTTATTTTTTAAATGTCTTATTCAGAGTGTGTTTATTTTATATATATTTGTTTTTTGAGATTGAAATTTAGGGGGTTGATTAGGGATAAATTGAATTATCGATGGAAATGGGTTATTTTTAATTATCTATCTAGAATTGGAAGTTTCAATTGGTTGATCAAGAATGAATTGAATCATAAAGAGGATTATTTTTAATCATTCTTAGAATTGGAAATTAAATTAAAATTGGATGATAAATGGTTTTGTATAAATGTGGTAGAGTTTAAGTTATAGGAGGTGATTAGATAATGAATGGGTGATTAAGATAAGGTATGGGGTAAAATTCATTTTACGAGTTCCTTTTCTTTCTTTATAATGTCATTTTTTAATTTTAGGGTGTAATATAACTTTAAGAAAGAGCAGAATTATTATTTATTGCGAGATTAAAATTTGGTTTTGGACGTTGAATTGAAATTAATTGGAACATTGGAAATTTTTATTTTCCATTTATGAATGGACTATGATTATGCAACAATTAAAAGAAGAAAATTAAGATGAATCTTATTTCTTTTCTTAATTTATATATTTTATAGAATTTGGAATGAATCTAATTATAATAGTAACTCATTTTTAATTAGAATTAAAAGATAGATTTATGGATTTGATTGGATGATAAATGGCTGTGAATAAAGATGGTAATTAGTTTCATTGTGAATTTTAGAAACTTTAAGAGTTGAATAGATGATGAATGGTTTTAGATACATTAGGGTTAAAAATATGGAGATAGAATCAATTTTATGCTTTCTTTCTTTTACGGTGCAGTTTCTTAACTTTTTCAATTAAACTATATTTAATTGCTTTTAACAAAGAGGAAGAAATTTTTTTTAATACATCTGTTTATTTTGAGATTAAAACTTGAGAAACTAATAGAAAACGAGTTGAAATGAATCATTTTTAATTACTTTCAATATTTTCAATTTTTATAATTCTATTAAGATACTCGAACAACTTTCTTCTCCATTTTATTTTCTTCTCGTCGAAGAAGAAGTTTAGTTTATGTCTGAATCTGATAATTGAAGAGATTAAGATCCACGTATAAATAATCATATGGATTATAAAATCGCCCTCCATTGAGAGAGACAAGGCAACGTGAAGCTCGATAACGCCAATTTCTCGGTTAAATTCTTGCAAACAATGGGATCATAAATCATGGCCGCATGGCTGGCAAAGTCTCATACTTAGGATCATAATTGGAACGTCGATGAACCCAATTAAGAAGAATCGTGAATCCCAGCTTTTCTACTCCATCATAATCCTTCTCTTGTTACCTTTAATTTAAAAAACTAATTTGTCCACGCTTAAAAAAAAATTATACTTTATTTAATTAATCCTTCCGTTAATCCTATCTTTGTAACGAAACTTTGTAAAAATCAATCAAATAATTCGTGGATTAAATTTATGGAAAAGTGTTAAATTAATTTTAGTAAAAAATAATCAATATTTTGTTCATTCGCCTGTAAAAAGTATTTGAAAAAAAAAAAAATTAAATTTCCTCCCAAAATCGATCAATTTCCTTCCCGCAACATTTATCTTTTTATTGTTTCGTTGGATCATCTCGAAATTGTCCAGTCCATTATACAAAACAGGCTGATTAAAATTCGTTCGAGTTGTTTCGGTTTTAAAGTTCTGCGTTCCTCCACGCTTTTGTCTCCGTGTTGCTGTTAAATTGGCTCGTGTTTGTATGGATATCGCGGTGGATATTGTGGTGTGGAAATGGCGAAGAATGGTTTGATTGTTTCTTTTCATCAGTTGACATTGCTTTTGGTTTCGTTTAGAATTTTCCTCGTCGTGTTTTTTTCTTT